AAGTACCTGTCCTCTGAGGCTGGGGTTAGTGGGATTGGTCAACAAAACAGCTTCTTTGTAACCAAGAGTCTCACAGCGGCCTGGGTCTCGATCTTCTGCCACTGGCATGATCCTTTGCTGGCTGTCCGATATTGCCATATAATTGAACCTGACACCGATGATATTAAGAGTTATTATTAAAGTCCCCATAAAATTGAAATGCCAGTATATTATTGGTAAATACAAAAGTTTCAGTTTTTTGTAATGTGGATATATAATTTACCATTTTTGGAGCTTGAAAACCACCCTTATTTGATCAATTTCCACGGTAGGAAACTCCGCCAGCTTCTCCATTATGCTGTACAAGTAGATTCCGGAGAGCCCACGCCGAACAATAACCCTGCATAATTAAAACTATTATTATCTATTACTAATTTGGATAATTTTTCAACCAATTCTTGGCATACTAGTAAGTCTTACGCTATGAAATCTTGAGATTTCCATGTTTAAAGCTTCGTTCAGAAATGTTTTTGAAAATTTTTTTTTTTTGTAATAATTTGTCAAAAAATATTAATTTTTTATTTTAAACATTTTTCATATATTTAAAGTAATTTTTTAATTTGTATTTTAAAGACTGAGATTAAAAATACAATTAATGCAGTTTTTATTAATCATTAAATTACATAAAAAATAAAATTTAACTTTAATTTTTATCAATTTATAAACTAATTAAATTAATGTACATGATTAATACATATGGTATTGTTGCTGAATCTGATATTAAAAATTTTGTTTTTTAATATAACTTAATGATTAAAAGTTGTTTAATTACACTTTTATCTTGTTATATGACATATATTAAAAAAATCCTTCTTTAAAATAGTAAAAGAGAGAAAAATTAACAACTACAACCTAATACTTGCTAACTAAACTTATATTTTATTATGGTATCAAACTTTATCTGTTAAAAAAATTTTCAATTAATGGTTATAATTAACCTTTAGAGCAAACATTGTTTTAAATTTTTTTGGAAATAAGAAAAGAACATATTTAGGAAAAAAAATTAATTAAAATGCCGAACCTTCTGTCAACGTTTAAGGGAACTATGGAGTTGGAGGAAGTCCATGTTTTGGAGAAGGAAAGCTCTGCTTGGTCGTCGTTTAGGGTCACTATTTTAAAATTTGACGTTGCAACTCTGCGGAGGTAGCAGCAGTGAATTATAATTAGTTAAGAAATTATAGTTCATTTTAGCTTCAATATGTAGTTAATGCAAAGAATATAACTTACTTGTCAAAGTTTACGCCATTCCAGACAACGTCCCAGTACCTAAAAATATATTTTTTTTATTAAAAAATAATAATATGATAATAAAAGAAAAAAATTGCAATCCATAATCACTGGACTCCCGTGTGACCTCATGGGACTTCCTTTGATAATGGAGCTTCCAATTATGTAATCTACATAGAGTGAACTACTAAACAAGGCTCTAATTAATTATAGAAAATGAAGATTTCTAAAATTAATTTTGAGTGCATACCCTCGGTCGTTATCATCTAGCCTACCATCAAGCACATTTTCAACGCCATTGTATTGAATTCCGGTGACATAGCCATCGGGGGTTGACAAAGTGACTCGAACAAGTCCATTATCAATCACTACCTGAAAATGTTTCGGTACATTAATTCAACTACTATCAATTTTAATGCATGCAATGGTGGTTGAAACATGCAATTAAGTCCAATTAACTATACTAAATTTGTTTTTCAATTATATATACAACTGGTTGATTGATATATAATACGTAATAAATAGAAAATGATTTATTCACAATATTTTCTTATTATAAAAAAACTTCGCATAATTTTGTTGCTCTTTTTATTCCATTAGTTGGGAGCGTAGTCAAATTTTAATTAGGTAAGTATGGGATACTGTGGGTAATACTCTGATGATAATGGAAACTTACTTGCTCATTTTCCTTTGTCAGCTGAACAGCTAGTGGTCCCTGTGTTGCATGTCCAAGATTCGTTCTTCTGCAAATGAATTGAAGACAAAGTTGGTTAATTAGCGTGTGGCGATGGCAATAGTACTATGGTCATGTGCTTTTTCAAAGTCTTTTGGTACAACCACCTAAGTCCTTAAATTGATGAGAAAATCATCAATGATTTAACCACTAACGAAATAAAAATGACATAAAACCAAATTCATAGTTCAACTTTCAAAGCACAATTTTACCGTTCAAATTAGATTCGGTTGCAAAGCGTATTAGATGAGGGCTCACCTTTGCAATAAGGAAATCTATCACTCTATGGTTATGGTTTTATGATATCGTTTGGGTCACAAAAGCACTTTTTTTTTAACAGTTTAAGGAGTAGCTAGTCAAGGAGTTTAATTGGGTCAAAAAGACACCATTGGTACCGCACTAGAGTAGAAAAATTGTTTCAAAAAAAATCCCCTTCCTCTTGAGTCTTGACTGGAGCAGACAACAATGTTCACGTTATGAACAGAGGAATTAATACTGAAAAAGTAGGAAGACTTATAAAGCATTGAGGGACCAACCCCTATTCTTTTGAGAGTCACGGGTTACATTTTCCAGAGATGCTCTGTATCCTTGAGGTTGTGGTGTGCATTGGCTAAACCCTTTCCCCTTTTGCATAAAAAAAAGAAAAAGACTACCCTTTTTTGTTTCCATCTGTAAATACTAAATTCCCGAGTGGGTTCTGGATAACTCAGCAAAGGACAAAGAAAACAAATACAACGTACAAAAAAGAAACATAAAGCAAGCGGACGCATAAACTCTCTTATAAGTAATATGCATTAAATCTATTAACTCTCTCTGTTTCTTCTGCAAATGCGGGTTTCTTTTATTTTTTTCATTTTTTTATGAGCTGTATATTGTATTTAATTATTTTATTAATAAAAAAATATTTTATGATTTGAACTGTTCTACATTTGTAAAAACATTAACCTTTTGTATAGTTTATTCTTCCCTTACTAAATAGAAAAACAAATATTACACTATTTAAACTAAACAATTTAAATTATTAAATAAGAAATAAAAATAAATTTTTAATGTTGAAAACTGTCTTGTGCTTAATAAATTTTATTTTATAATATAATGTCGTGAGAACTTAGATGAAAATAAATAAAAAAATAAAACTCTGTTTCTATTCCTTCCCGAAACACAGAGAAGGTGAAAGAGG